AGCTGAGCTTTGGACTCAGGCTTGAAAAGCTCCAAAGCCTCTGCATCCTCAGAAAGAACTTCAGGATACCAACCAAAACCAAACCTGCTGCCGTCAAGTTGATCTCAATTCACGGCAACCCCACGTGCGTCAGAGTAGAACTATACTCCATAGGGCTTTTCAATGGCTAATTTTTCGGAATTAGATCTCTAGGCCTTTTTTTTGAGGCGCCTCTGGGTAGACGCGAACTGCCAACTTTTCTGTTAGCAGTGAAGTTCCTTAACTGTTTGTGTCACCCAAGGACTCTGCAGGTTACCAGTCAAATTCAATTAGACTTCTGTTTGTCGATTGCTACTGCCTACTTTGTTCAATGCTGGACACTGAAGTGGTCCCAAAGATAGATAAGATGGAGAATGTTTAGAGGCATGAAGCCTGAAAAGCAAACCAGTACTGCTTTCTGTTTATGCTCTCCGGGTGGCAAGTCATGCACATGGGGAAAGTTGAAGCGCAGTAGGAGGCAGTGTTTATGTGAGCTATGCCAAAGCGAGCGTTGTAGACATTAAAGGAGCCGAGAGAACATCTGTGAGCATGAGTCTGTGTCTTATCCATGCCAGGCAAAGCACATCCAGCTCTCCAAGCTCATTGGATTTGTTGAGTTGCGTGGACCAGAGTAGCAGGTATGGCATCATGGAGGACGGAGGCCTGGCTGGGAAGTAGAATGTAGCTAGTTCTGGAGTCAGGAATGTATGCTACTCTCCCTTCAGCTGAGCACTGTGCCAGGTGTGTTGGAAACTCTTGGAGAAGAAAGGAAGGAAGGTAAGGGTCCTATAGGTGCTGCTGGTGTCACCCTGATCCTCCAGTGTCTGGCTGGCTGGTGCCTGGAGAAGTTGTCTGCCCTGAACAGACTGTTCCTTACGGGCAGGGGTGGATTGTCCAATAAGCAAGGTAAGCACTGTGCTTACCTTGCTTACTAGACCATGTGTAGCAAACAATTTCACATTTTTTTCATCACATCAAAGATTCTGCTTCTAGATATGGCTGACATCTGTCTCTCTCCCAACCCCACAGCACCTTCCTACAGAATCAAAGCCTCTTTTCAAATTTACAATCCCTGATAGGCAGATGACCCAGTAAGCAAGGTAAGCACCGGCTCACTTGTGTTTACTTACTAATCTGTAGTGAACAATTGTTAGTTGTAGTGAATAATTAGTAAGTAAGCACAAATAAGCCCATGCTTACCTTGCTTATTAGATAATCTACCCCTGCTTGTGGGTGGTACCCAGCAGGCCTTTATGTTTCTTTGGGTGTGCTTTTTTCCCCCAGAGAGAAACATGTTTTCCCCCTTCCTCCACCAGCTTCTAGCCTCAACTTTCTACACTGCTTCCTGGGCAGCCGCTTAGCTGTGAGCTTGCCCCCAGCCTCACCTTCTCCAGTCCACCCTCTGCCATCTCATTTTCTCAAAGCTCAAGTTTCATCCTGCCACTCCTCTCCTGCTGCCCTCGGCCCACTGAGAAGCCAGGCTTCACTCCTTGATATGACGTAGCTCTGCCACTACAGTCTGCCCTGGACACCCCCCACACTTCATCATCAATCCTGAACTTCTGACCACTGACTGTGCTGTCATCCTTCCAATGTGCTGGCTCTTTTCAGAATCATGTCTGAATGGTGTTTCCTTTACCTGAAATAGGCATCCTCCAGTAATTATCAAATAATATCATTAATATCACACACAAGTAAAATTTTGCTGAAAATAATTAAAAAATGGTTGCAACAGTACATTGACAGGGAACTTCCAGAAATTCAAGCTGGATTCAGAAGAGGACGTGGAACTGGGGATATCGTTGCTGATGTCAGTTGGATCTTGGCTAAAAGCAGAGAATATCAGAAAGATGTTTACCTGTGTTTTATTGACTATGCAAAGGCATTGGACTGTGTGGATTGTAACAAATTATGGATAACCATGTGAAGAATGGGAATCCCAGAAGACGTAATTGTACTCATGCGGAACCTGTACATAGACCAAGAGGTAGTTGTTCGAACAGAACAAGGTACTGCGTGGTTTAAGATCAGGAAAGGTGCACGTCAGGGTTATATCCTTTCACCATACTTACTCAGTCTATATGCTGAGCAAATAATCTGAGAAGCTGGACTACATGAAGAAGAACGCAACATCAGGATTGAACGAAGACTCATTAACAACCTGCAATATGCGATGACACAACCTTGCTTGCTGAAAGTGAAGAGGACTTGAAGCACTTACTGATGAAGATCAAAGACTACAACTTTCAGTATGGATTACACCTCAACGTGAAGAAAACAAAAATCCTCACAACTGGACCAATAAGCAATATCATGATAAACAGAAAATATTGAAGTTATCAAGAATTTCATTTTACTTGGATCCACGATCAATTCCCATGGAAGCAGCTGTCAAGAAATCAAATGATGTATTGCATTGGGCAAATCTGCTGCAAAAGACCTTTTTAAAATGTTAAGCAAAGATGTCTCTTTGAGGACCAAGGTGTGCCTGACCCAAGCCATGGGATTTTCAGTTGCCCAATATGCATGTGAAAACTGGACAATGAATAAGGAAGACCAAAGAAGAATTGATACCTTTGAATTATGGTGTTCACAAAGAATATTGAATATGCTACAGACTGCTAGAAAAAAGAACAAATCTGTCTTGGAAGAAGTACAGCCAGTATGCTCCTTAGAAGCAAGGATGGCAAGACTTCTTCTCACATATTTTGGACATGTTATCAGGAGGGACCAGTCCCTGGAGAAGGACATCATGCTTGGTAAAGTAGGTCAGCAAAAAAGAGGAAGACCCTCAATAAGATGGATTGACACTATGGCTGCAACAATGGACTCAAACATAGCAATGACTGTAAGGATGGCACAGGACCGGGCAGTGTTTTGTTCTCTTGTACATAGGGTCACTATAAGTTGGAAGTGACTCGATGACATCTAACAACAACAACAGTTTTCTCCTAAGGAGCCCTGATGGCATGGTGGTTAAGTGATCAGCTGCTAATGGAAAGGTTGGTGGTTCGAACCCACCAGCTGCTCTGCAGGAGAAAGATGTGGCAGTCTGTTTCAGTAAAGATTACCAAACCAAAAACCAAACCTATTGCCATCAAGTTGATTCCAACTCATAGCAACCCTAGAGGACAGAGTAGAACTGCCCCATAGGGTTTCCAAGGAGTGCCTAGTGGATTTGAACTGCTGACCTTTTGGTTAGCAGCTGAACTCTTAACCGCTATACCATCAGGGTTTCCCAGTAAAGATTACAGCCTTAGAAACCCAATGAGACAGTTCTACTCTGTCCTCTAGGGTCGCTACGCGTCAAAATTGACTCGACATCAGTGGGTTTGGTTTTGGGGTTAGTCTTCTCCTAGTGAAATCCACCTCCTTCCTAAAATTGTAGCTTTCTGGACTCCTCTAGATTCTGTCAGACGTTTCCTGCCATGGGCTTCCATGCACTTTATTCATGTTCTACAACACTTGCCTGGTTTTGTAATCACCTCTTTATTGGCCAGTCTTCCTCTCTAGGCTGGGCCTGACCCTGTGCTGGTTTTCTCTGTATCCCCAGAACCCAGCATGGTGCCTGGATCTTGGTATTAAAAAAAAAGAAAAAAGTTCCCGTCAAGTAAGCTCTGACTCATGGTGACTCCATGTGTCAGGGTAGAACTGTGTTCCATAACGTTTTCAGTCTCTGAGTTTTCAGAAGTAGATCACCAAACCTTTCTTCCAAAGCAACTCTGGGTAGATTTAAACCTCCAACCTTTCACTTAGCAGCCAAGCATGTTAACTATTTGCACCACCCAGGGACTCAGTAATTGTTGTTGAATGAGTAAGGGATTAAGGAAGAAGAAGATAAACACCATTCTTTGCTTTCCAGTGTTATAAAGCCAGCCCGCTATCCAAATGCACCCACGATAAACATGCCCAGCTGGATGGAGCCTGTGAAGCTGCCCAGACTGAGGGCCTCATGCTCTGTGTATTTGCTGACCTCCTCTTGCTGAACTCAATTTGCTTTCTCTCTTGATTGCAGACCCTTGCCTCAAATCCTCCCGACAGCCGGGTCAGCCCCAGCAACTCCACACTTGTTGCACTAGCTTTGGATTCAAGAAAACTAGCTGGTGCTTTGGAAAATCAGTTCTAATTTATTTTTGTTCCTTTGAAACTTCAATGTCTTTCCTAAAAAATGCCTGAGGTTAGGGTAGTGCAGAGAGAGGACCATGGCCAAAACCCAGGCAAGCTATTTTTGTGATGTGAATGAATACCCATCCCATTTTTCTCTTCCATCAGCCTGAGCACTTGCTCCAAATCGCTCCCGGTTTGAGTCTACAAAGCATAGACTCCTTTTGCACATTGGGAGGAGGAGGCCCATGTATCTCTCCGTCTTTCTGTGTGTCTGACTGAGGTAGACAGTGGGAAGATACCAGGAATAGAGGGGAATTTTGAGAAGTTGCCATTTGTCATCTGTATAGAGGAAAGACTCACCCTCTGGTAACTAATGAAGAAAGACTTTAAATTTTGAACATCTAAGATAGACGGATGTGAAACCTAGAGAGGAATGTGCTTTGGATTTCTTTTTGTCATGCACTAAGGTAATGTGGCTAGGTCACATTAGTACTAGTGAACCACTTTGCAGCACCCATAATTATAGGTTTTCAGTGGTGCTAAATCTAGTGTGCTTTTTTGTTATTGCTTTTATTGGGTACTATTTCCAGAACCATCTGCTCATCCCAAGATGACCAAGTAATGTTGACATCTGCAGAGTATAGCTTTGAACTGTCCGTGATTCTTTTCAGCTGGTGAGAAGAGTGAGGTGTTGGGGATAAAGGGTTTGCCAGCAAGGCAGCATTGCCAGGTTGGAAGGTATGATTGTGCATTTTCTATAGAGGGTTTATGTTTTTATATCTGAAAGAAATTTTATTTTTACCTCTCAGCACCCATTCCTCCATCCTACCCTCATTGCCCGTGAAGCTCACTTCTGCCTCCACTTACCTTTGCAGGTGTGACGTTTCTCCAGGTACTTCATAGTTCTCCTCTGTTCTCTCCACGCCACTGCTCTACACGGCTCCTGAGACATGGCAGAAAATGAAGACGAGAAGCAGACTCAGGCTGGGCAGATTTTTCAGAACTTTGTCCAGGCTTCCACATGCAAAGGTACCCTCCAGGCCTTCAACATCCTCGTACGGCACCTGGACCTAGATCCTCTGGACCACAGGAACTTCTATTCCAAACTCAAGTCCAAAGTGACCACCTGGAAGGCCAAAGCCCTGTGGCACAAATTGGACAAGCGTGGATCCCACAAAGAATATAAGCGAGGGAAGTCGTGTATGAACACCAAGGTAAGGGGAACCTCCATAAGGACATTCCGTACCCCGTGGGATGTGTGGATTGACTTGTTGGGAAGTTAGGAACCTGTTGCCATTCTGCCATCCTGAGTTTAATAGATGTGGGTGTGAGTGTTGTATTGTTTTACTCAGCTGAATGTTTCCTTTGTCTACACATATGCAACTTATTCTGCTGGAAGTTTCCATCTTGTGATGGCCTCAGCAACTCTTCAGAGAAAGACAGAGAAACCAAAGGCGAGGTTGAGGGAGTCAAGCAAATACTTGACATTATCCTACTTCTACTGTTATTACTACTACCACTACTACTTCTAGTAGCCACTATTTATTGAGCAACTTTTATGTGCTGGGCACTTTCTGTACATGATCTCATCGAACACCTGTAGTACTGTTAGTCCTTTGGGCCATTTCAGAGATGTGAAATCTGAGAGGTTAATTAACTTGCCCAACCTCACACAACTACAAGGCAGCTTTGGTCTGTCTGATTCGAGAGCTTAACCCCAAAATTCCATGGAGAGGCATAGTTAGGGGGTGGTGTTCCCCTGGGAGCAAACATTTTAGAAAAATCCCGTGACTTTTAATTAATTGGCTAAGTAAGTCCTTACTGCCTTTTCTTCCCTCTTTCTCTTTTTTCTCACACCTCTGCATTTCCTACCTCCCCATATCCAAGACACATTTCTCTGCGCAGGGTCACAACTGTAGTTAACTGAGCACAAACTGATTACATCCTTCCCCAGGTTGTTTGGCCACACACATCATCAGTGAGAATAGGGCTGTCCAGCACATCACATCTCTGAATCTCTGAAATACCCATCATTGAATGGGCAGCTGGAAGTCAAGACTTCCCGCTGACCCTTGGGGGCTGTCGGCCCTGGCACTGGTTCAGTCTATGTGCTTAGGTTAAAAGCGAGCATGCTGTATTTAGACCTCGCAGGAGGTAGCTCAGTCAGAGCCCTTGGAATTCCGGTCAGTGCCAATCCCAGGACAAGAGGTTGAACTCTCCATGACAATCAGGACTGTTGTGGTTTTGTTTTGGTGATGAGGAGTTGTTGAGTCCACTGTGGGATACGGCTGCTTTCCATTACCCTGGGGAGACAGCTGCCAAACTCCTCTGAGCCTGGGGTGCACTAACTGTACAGGGCATAATAGGAGCATTCCATGAGGCTGAAACAGACCAACCACTTCAACCCAGAGCATACCAGCCATCTAGGCAGTACCAGTGTATAACCTGCCAAGCTGCAGCCTTAGGCAGAGGAGATAGAGTGTTAGAGAAAAAGAAGGGGCAGAAAGGTGTGGGACCAGTGTCCTGAGTGCCACTCCCACCCAGGCCTCCTTTCCTAGTTGTTGTAACTTCATGATTCATAGTCCACCGGGCAACTCTTCAGAGTCAGAGGAGGGAGAAGCTTTTAGCTTTCAAAGTATCCACTTCTCAGTAATTGTATACGGTGGCTGTCTTTTCAAAGCTTGACTTCAGGGTCTCATAGAAGTCAGATGGATAGGATGCATTATGTTCTCTCATGGAGAGTTTTCAGAACTCCTGCTCTGTTATGAAATACCATTGCCCCATACGCCAGCACTTTCTGGCTCTTGAAGGACTCTCTGGATGATCTGAAGACAGGCCTTCAAGGGAGTCACCTGCAGAGGAGTGTAATGAAGGGTTGACCACCATGCAGATGTCTTTCTTTCAAAAATCATTAGCTGGTTGCCTTGCCTGTCTAGCCAGTCCCCATTTTATAAGCTTTGCCAGCTTGAAATAGAAGCATCCTTGCATCCTGTGGTTGGCAGGTCACCGGCCCCTGAGATGCAAAGGGAAGGAAAACATCTTTAGTTAGTGATGCAGAGTAAGAGTGGTTCTTGCTCAGGAACTGTTATGCCTTCCTTATGAGGAGGAACAAGATATTGCAAATGCTTGGTAGCCCATCTCCTAAAAACAACCTAGATCCCTAGGAGTGGACAATGCATTTGAAAATGCATTGTCTGTGCAAATTGTGGCTGTGTTAGGCCACTTCAGCTGCACATTTCTGAAATCCAACTCAAACTAGCATAAACTAAACAGAGAAATCATTAACTCATATTAACAAGAAGGTCCAGACACTCAGTCTTTCCTATCCTCCCTCCATCCGTCCATCTCTGGATGTTTTGCTCTGTGTTGGCTCCATTCTTCCCTGTTGCAAACAGATTTTTCTCCATGTCGGTAGCCTCTAATTCATATCTTTATAAGTCGGTGACCCAAAAGGCTAGACTCTTTTTCTTCCATTTCAACATGGAAAAAAAAGATTCAGTAGGGAAGAATTGTGATTGGCCTACCTCTGGGCCAATTATTGTGGCCAAGGCCAGAGGAACTGACTACTGTGACTGGCAGCACTTTCAGTCATCACATGATTGACATGAGGGAGGAGCAAGTCTCCAAGGACATTACGATGTGGGACAGATAAACAACAGGTGTCCTCAACAGGGACTGTTCACTTGTATCTGGTTATGGTATAGGTTCTCTGCATATTGGATTCATGTGTGAATGGCTAATGCCCATCTCTAAGAGGCTAGTGTTTGAACTACTTGTTGTGAATTAAGCAAAACACAGAACATGGGTCTTCCCTTGCTTCAGATGTGAACTGGCCCTGTCTTGCTACATGGATACTGTAGCAGTTTACGTGTGGCTGATGATTAATGCCAAGACATATACACACAGGTGTGTCAGGTTCCGGGCACATCACCAAGCTCTCAATTAGCCACAGGTAGAGCGTGAAGAAATAAAAGTCAGCAAGAACCCCTACTGATGGGGTTCACATCTCAGCACCATCTGGAGTGGACCTGAGCTTCAGCATTTAACAAGCATTTATTGGCCCTACCTAATGTGCTAGGACACTGTGAGGTTTACTTCCTGCCAGCAGTGAGTGTGTGTGTGTCTATGGTGTTGTGGGGGAGGGTACTAGGACCTATGCAGAGAAGAAGGGGTCTGGTGGACGTGCTGGGAAACAGGAGGAATGACTGGGAAGGTCACTAGAGTGGTAGCTCAGTTGTCAGTTGCATAACCTCACTTGGGATTATTGTTTATTGGTTATTATTTATCAGAGTTTTGTCAGGCACTTGATGATTCTCTCCCTCGGTGTGACTCTGTTGTATAAGAGCTGAGTGAACCAGGAATCAAGCCAAATTAACTCCTTTCAGACTGATAATGGTTTTGCATTAGAGCAGTACCTGGATCAAATATCACATCTAAGTGAGTTGTGTTACTGGGGACAACAACCCAAAAGGAACTGCATTATGTAGTTTGGTATGGGAATTGCCACATCCACGTACTCATGGACTCTGGTCATTTATTTAGTGTGAACCTTTAATGCGGGTAGTTATTTTAAAGAATGTTGTGTACAAGCCCTGCATTTGACAGGTAACAAACAGGGACCCAGGAAGCTGAAACTCTTTACCCAGGATTACACAGCTAGTGGGTGTCATTGCCGGGATTTGAACTGTTTATTGGTCTGCTTGTATGTTCTTTTATTCATTCATTCATTCACCAGATAGTCTAATGCCTTACACCTTACTAGGCATTTGACAGGGGAGATGGTCTGAAAGATGAGTAAGAAGTGATTCTCACTTGAGCTTTCTGTAGAGAAGACAGAAATGTAATTATTTCTGTATTTATTCACTCCTTCAGTCATTCACGAGATTAATAATTATTGAGTGCATACTACGTGCCAGGCACTTGTCTAGGCACCTGTCAGTCACTTAATAGCTCTGTAGCCTTAGGCAAGTTACTTAATATCTCCGATCCTTGGTAGCATCCTTTGTAAAATGAGGATGATAATAGTAGCTACCTTACGAGGTTACTGTGATGATGAAGTAAGGTAATCTTTGTAAGATATTTAGAATGCTGCCTAGCAATAATAAGTGATCAGTAAGCATTTAGCCATTATTATTAACTTCCCAAGTGTTATGAGGGAGGTGTATACACTGTTCTACAGGAGGATAGAAAGTATAGAAAGGTGAGCAACGAACTGTGACTGAGGTAGTCTGGGAATGATCGCAGAAGAGGAGGTGTGATGTGGGGCTTGACAGATGAGTAGGAGTTTGCCTTGAGAGCTGAGGAAACACAAGACAGAGAGATATATTCCAGGAAGAGTATGTTGCTTATGTAATGGGAGTGTAGTGATGTGTTGGAGAGGGTGAGATCCAGAGAGAGCAGAATGGATGGGTGGTAGGAGGATACCAGGGAGAAGGGCCTTCTGGGGCCAGACTGTGAAGAGAGAGTTCACGGTCAGAGGACCCAGAGTACCACTGACAATGAGCCCTCTGCTTCCCAACCCAGGGATCTTTCTACCACCCTCCATGGGGTTGCCCAGTAATCACAGGTTGCCATTACAGACCAGAAGGCATTTGTACATCACTGCCATAAAAACACACGTAAAAACATGTTTGCAGGAAATGACTCACTGACTCTTTTGTCACCAGCAGAAATGGGGCCAGCCTATGTAATGAAAACTCTAGGATTTTCTTGTTAGAGGTAAACATCTGTACTTTGTGAGTGTCCATCAGGGTCACCCCACAGCTTTTGGTCCGTATTATGACCCTTGACTCTCTTTGCCCCTGCAGAGGCTCCCCACTGGTGGGTAGCACAGCCTGGGTTTATGTGTGGGACCCAACTTATCCAGTGATTCCCGATCTTTGTAAGCAAAGCCCCTTGGGGGAGGCAGGGAGGGAGAGTGAGTGGTGGAAGGGGTGAAGCTGGGGCAGAAGACTGCTATTTCTTGGGCTGGATAAGCCTATCTGACATTCCAGACTTCTGAAATCACCCACCAACTCGCAATGCTGGCTCTGCTGTGCCCCTGAGGCATGTCAAGTACTACTTTGCCTAATATGGACAGTTGCAGTCACAACTGATAAAGCAGAGGATGGTCTCTGGGGTGTGACCTTCTGTTCCAGTTGAACAAAAAGCTTAAATGAACTCTAGATTAGTCCACTCACCTGACAATGCATTGCTGGCACTGCTCCATCAGACA